GTGGAAGTTCGTTATAAACGAAAAGTGAATATACAACTAACCTAAAAAGTGATCGTTATATCCGGAAGTTCGTTATAACCAGTAAAAAAATGCGTTGGCCTTTATGGACGACCTTTCAATTAAAGGATAAAAGTTCGTTTTAACCGAAAGTTCACTATAACCGGGTGCATTATAAGCGGACTTTACTGTAGTTTTTTGCAAATTTCTCAGTTTTTAATAACAATAATTTTTTTTGCTACTTTTTCGGTACTCCTAAAACACCGCCAGACAACATCTCCAGAGGAATGACTCCAATTTTGAGTCACCCTGTATAACTAATTGCTAGACTTGGAAATTGATACCTACTTTGATATTTCGCGCAAAGAGTCTGGCATTGTTCGAGTGTGTTGAAGTTATTTTGATTGCCTTCGCATCCACTGTAGCTGAAAATTTCGCAACCGTTCTTCATGGCATCAAAGTACCAGCGGTCGATATTGCTCTTGCAGGCCCCCACATCCATTGGCAAGCTACAAGCTGCAGCTGGAAAAACGCCCTTATTCCTCATGGTTAACTGGTGATAAACTGAAGTCAGTTACCATTGAGTAATTTGTGGCTTTTGTCGCACGCCCTCTCGAAGCACTCCACAGTTTCCCTCACTCTTCGTTCGCATGGATCTTCGGCTTTACCTGCATCGTTATCTGAAATTTCGCCACTGGAACCATAAGGGCGGGTCTAAGACTAAGTTACCTTTTCCCCGTTGAGGGCCATATATTGCTTCCTGTCCAGTGTATTTTAACGAGAGCTTGTACCGTTCCTTAAACCCTTTATCGCATGTGGCTGAACATGGTGACCAATCGGTCCATGGTCGTTCTGGACAGTCTGGGAAGTCTTCCTGCAAATTTGCGCCTGGTTACTAAAATATTTGGAAAAATTGCTGTTGTTTCAACGACCATCTCTTCGTAGTCCTCGCACTTTTCATCCACCCAACACTCGAGATTTTGTTGCATGATTAAGGGCTTGGTTCTTCCATGGACGCATCGCTTTGCCGCATAGCGATTTTTGAACTTTCTGTCTCGCGTTTTGGTGCCTTTTCCGCATGTAACACTGCAGCTTGACCAAGGCGACCAAGAACCTGAATGTACAGCGTGTTCAATAAATATACCCATAAACGTTTTTGCGGACACTTCAAAATGCAATTTATACAGTGTCTCGAAGAGGCAAAAGGCCTAAAAGTTTGTTGGTATGCAGGATGATTCATTAACAATAGGAAACCCAGAGACTGTGTTTAAAGTTGTCATTTTAATTGGGAATTTTGCAGTAATTCTCAAAATGTCTGCGTGGGAAACTTGAAATTTTGGGACGTGAGGTTAATCACTTTTCACCCGGTAGTTGTAACATCAAATTTATTTATCTGCATTTGATATCGATGTGTCTCAAAACACGAGCGTTTCACCCAATTGAATGGGTTCGATGAAAATTGCCAAATTCGACAGAAATACTGTCTTGGAAACTTGGAAGGATTTGAAAACTAAATTAACAACAATAACACGAAAATAACGATTTAAATACGAAGAAAATGGTGCAAAAAACTGGCCATTTTGGGTCGATAGACAACATTTTTGGACTTCTGACCAAAACTTCTGCCTATTAAAATACTCGCCATGTTCATCAAGCTTTCAACGTTTACGTTCAAAGGTTTTAGGAACTTGATGAAACCTAGTAAGTACAAACATTTCTCCAGAAGCTTTGACTTAGAATTAATTAGAAATATTTCAATATCGTGAATAATACTGTTAACTCTTCCAATGACTGTGGGATCCGGGGAGGGATACTTTTTGAGACTAAAATTACTTAAGCCTTTATGAACGACTTTAGAACAAGAAACTTATAAGCGAAGAAAATTTCACATTTTGCAGCAAAAACATCAAGGAAAGTTCAGTTTCTATCTTTGCTCTGAAACCCACATCTGAAAAAAAACTTGCTGCTGCTCTAATTGTGCTTTGAACTATAAAAAGACGAAGACTTGCTAAAAAAAGGAAAATATGGACGCGCGAGTGGAAGAAGAAGTAGCGAGAAGAACTGAACTAGGGGCTAAACAATTAATGAAATAATTATGACATGAAGATCCGGGATTTTACAAAAATCTTTTACTTGTATCTGCAGCAGATTTTGATTATGCAGGGTGATTCACAACCTTATGGACAGAGGCAGGGGGACCGTGAAGCGTTCAGAGAAAAATGTGAACAAAAGGACGCAAAGAAAATTACCACTGGATTGCGTAATTGCAAACGGTATTTTAAAAAGTCGATTTTATACAGAAATTGTCCCTATAAGTGAAACATCTAGTAAGTTTGAAAATAGTGGGAAAAATAAAACAACATTTTTTCTTACAAAGCCTTCTTTAATTATTTGAATTAGGCAACCTTTATTATTTTCAAGTTTTTGCGGTTTAGTTCATTTTTTCCTGTGCTTTCGAATGCGTGTAAAATAACTTGATGGTAGTATTTGAAATTTTTGTGAGAAATTAAAACAAAGAATTTTTTGAGCACAGCGCATTTTTCAAAAATGAGTAAGATTGTTGTTATATCACATATTGTAGAGTATTTTTGCTCTTTCAATTGATAGTAAAAACTTTTAAATCGGTGAAGTCGTTTCGGAGTTACAAGTTTCTTTGAATTTAGCGGTTTGACTCTCCCCCCACGCTTTATTTGACAAGTTAGGAAAAAAGTTTATAAGGAAAGCAGTACGGTTCTTTATGGTCTTTTGACTAAACTTACTACATGTTTCACTTATCGGGACAATTTCTGTATAAAATCGACTTTTTAAAATATCGTTTGCAATTACGCCAGAGCCTAGTGGTCATCTGAGAAATTAAAAAATAATTTCTACACGAACACTCTACAACTAATACTTTCCAAGATATAACCTTTTACCATCCTTATTGCGACACCCTGTATATAATTAATAATTCACTGCCATGAAAAAACCTTACTCAGTTCACACATCGGGTCCTCCAGGTCCTTTCGCCGGATCTGAGGGCAATATTTTTGAGTTGCTTCGCAAGTGGCTCTTTCCGTTAGTTTTTTATGACAAATGTATTTGCTGTCGTCGTTTTTGTATCGTCTTTGTTTGTATTTTACGCCGCGACCGCAAGTTACTGAGCATGGAGACCAATCGGACCAATCTGAAAACGAATTGGCTCTTGGTCCAATTAGCTGCTGATTGGGCAAAACCTACTAGTTGTTTCGCAGTTGGAATTATTCTCATCCACATTATCATTCGGCTGGAAATCGCAACTTTTCTCATAAAGCCGCTGACGGGTTAGTTTCAATATAGCAAACGGCTTCATTGGCGTGCCAGTGGGATCGTAAAAGGGCGACCTGGAGTCGTCGGGATAGTCAAACTTCAGTCTTCGGATAGGCTGTTTATTAACAGCCGGCTGATCTACTGACTGAAATTCTCCGTTCATTGCGCGCCTTGGAAATCCATCTGGGTACTTGCCAGATACGTGATGCCATCATCAGTTCCAACATCCCAAGGATACAAATTGAGCACTTTGGATTCGGTCCATGAGCAGTTTCTCAGGCAGAGCTCCAATCCGGATACGCCAACAATCCAGTCCGGGGATGGATCGATCATGGATACGATCGACATCAAGTGATGCTTGCTATCCACTCGGAAGACTGCGAAAGTTTTGCCGGTTATGTTCGGGAAGCTTACACCTCGAGCTTTGATGATTGTTCTGATTTGATCGCTCTGAAAATTCCACGGGCAGAAATTGAATATTTTCCTCAAACACTTCATTACTAGGGTTTGTCGGTTTTTAAAAGCCGGGTTTTGGGAGAAAATTGTGAAATTCGAAAACAGGTTTTTTAGTAGAAAATATCGGTTTTTAATGTATGAAGAACAACTGCATCATAAATAACAAAATTCCGAAAACATGGAAAAGTGGTGTAGTAATTCCTATACCTAAAAATGGACGAGACAATACACAAATGGAAAACTACAGAACTCTCGGTGCTGAGCAAAGTTTTGGAACACATACTAAAGCAGAGACTTGAAGAACTGATCGGAAAACATATACCAACCTACCAATTTGGCTTTAAACAATATCACTCGACTATTCATCTGTTATTTATTTTGACCAACAACATACAAACAGCTCACCTAATTGACGGAAAGTCGGCATGTCTACTCATGGATATCAACAAGGCTTTTGATAGTGTCTGGCATAGGGGCTTGCTATACAAACTATACAAACTCCCCACACCACCATATCTACTACATACCATAAAGAACTTATTAGAAAACAGACAACTACAAGTACGAATTGACAGCACACTCTCCTTTTCTTTTTCCCCTGAACAAGGGCTCCCTCAAGGATCCCCCCTCTCACCCTTTCTCTACAGTATATACTGCCATGACATATACAAT